AAAAAATCATTTTACCAACTTTTTAGATGTAACTTCTCGTACGATTTCACTATCATTGGAAAAAAACTGAAGAGACCAAACCATAGAAGCTGCTGCCACCAACTCCTCTGTTCTTCTGGATCAACATCAACAATGCGAATAGTGTACAATTCCAAAAACGCACTCTCTGATAAGATTTAAGAAGATGACGAATTAGGAGATACAAAATTACTGAGGTAAGCATCAGCCAACATTTGGCCCAGCTTGATCTGAGCTTCAGTGCACAGGTGAATGTTGTCTACCTCCAGCTTCAATCCCTTAGCATCCACGCAAATCAAGTTCGCCATCTTCATGCAGAGCTGTGTTTCCCTCACTTTCTCCAGGTACTTAGGTCCTCCCGAAGCCAACGCCACCTATATATACAACTCCACGTGGCACTTAATCAAACACCGGTATCAAACTGAGGAAGAATGACACAAATATTATTTTTTTAAAAAAATTTACCACCAATATGGCGGATTAAAAAGTATTGACAAGTATATTGTGTTTTGGAGAAAAAGTTAGGCGAGACCACGTGAGACTGAGGTGCCACCACCTGAGTCTCAGGTTAATAGATGGGAAGAAAGTCCCAGGTGTTGGCACCTGAGACTGAGGTGTTACCACCTGAGACTGAGGCGTGACCACCTGAGACTGAGGTGGCACCGCGCAGAACAATCCTAATTCTAACCCTAAACCCTAAACCCTGAACCATGAACCCTGAACCCAAAAACAACGAATTTCGTATCAGTTATTCACACCACAAATGGCTAATAGGTAAGAGACATATTTATTTTTTAATTATATTATTCAAATGTTATTATGATTGTGTTTAGTTTAATTAGTGAGTTTTTCTGTAGTGATTTTAGAAGATTTGAACTAGTCGTTTGGTGGAAATCGGAGAAAGTAGAGGAGAATTTGGGCATCAAATTCGTTGGTGGTGGTAGTTTTCAGTTGACGGTTTTTCAAATGTAATAGTTGTGGTTTGAAGTAGTTGTTGTTTTTGAAATAGTTGTTATGGTTTAAGAAGGTTGTTGTAGTTGTTGTTTTTCAAATGTAGTAGTTGTTGTTCTTGGCCAAATTATAAAATGTCCGAGTTGTTGTTTGTTATTTGTTGTTCCGAATAGTTATCGCTAATAACATCATACATGAATGTAAAAATAGTTCAAAGAATAGTCCACATAAATAGTCCACATAATAGTCCACATAACACATAAATAGTCCACATACATATCCCAAATAATAATAACATAACAAAAATACAAAAAAAAAAACTCTAACGATCATCACCACGACGACCACCATGCTGATCCACTAGATGGCCGCCGGTACCACACCTCGCTGGCGCCTGTCTGATGTCCTAGCTGAAATGACGGATTAAACCGGAAGGTCATAGTAGGCCGAACGGGCTGTGATCGCTGTCGATCTGAAATCCGGAGCGGGTTAGGTACATCACGATGCTCACGTCGCTGTCTACGTGGCCTACGCTCCTGTCTGAATTTGTTGTTTATTTGTTATGTGGACTATTTATGTGGACTATTCCTTGAACTATTTTACATTCATGTATGATGTTATTAGCGATAACTATTCGGAACAACAAATAACAAACAACAACTCGGACATTTTATAATTTGGCCAAGAACAACAACTACTACATTTGAAAAACAACAACTACAACAACCTTCTTAAACCATAACAACTATTTGAAAAACAACAACTACTTCAAACCACAACTATTACATTTGAAAAACCGTCAACTGAAAACTACCACCATCAACGAATTTGACGCCCAAATTATCCTCTACTTTCTCTGTTTTCCACCGAACGGCTAGTTCTAATCTTCTAAAATCACTACAGAAAAACTCACTAATTAAACTAAACACAATCATAATAACATTTGAATAATATAATTAAAAAAAAAATATATGTCTCTTACCTATTAGCCATTTGTGATGTGAATAACTGATACGAAATTCGTTGGTTCAGGGTTTAGGGTTCATGGTTCAGGGTTTAGGGTTAGAATTAGGATTGTTCTGCGCGGTGCCACCTCAGTCTCAGGTGGTAACACCTCAGTCTCAGCTGCCAACACCTGGGACTTTCTTCCCATCTATTAACCTGAGACTCAGGTGGTGGCACCTCAGTCTCAGGTGGTCTAGCCTAACTTTTTCTCCAAAACACAATATACTTGTTGTTGGGTCTAGTATTAACCCGCCTAATACGGGCCCAAGCCCACCACAAAGCGTCTCACCTTGGACCCGAGCCCATTCGAGGGTCCAGTACACCGGGAGGCGTCCAGTCCATCCGGAGGGCGTCCATCACCGGGAGGCGTCCAGCCTACCCGGGGGCGTCCACCACCGGGAGGCGTCCATCGACGGGAGGCGTCCATCGACGGGAGGCGACCAGTCGACCGGGGGCGTCCATGACAACGGGAGGCGTCCACAGGATGCCTCCGACTCCTATATAAGGAGGCCAGACCCTCCAAGCAAGGGGACTTCTCTCCCTTCCCTCATTTCACCACTTATGGTTCTCTCTCTAAACCCTATCTCTCTCTACATTTCTCTCTACACTCTATCATATATCCTATTCTAACTTGGGCGTCGGAGTGTAGATCACGGGGGCCGCCCCCGACTCTCCACAGGATTCTTCCACTCCCGAGGAGATCAGACGAGGGAGTCCGGATCAAGGTTCCACACTAATCCCCGGTACTAATCCGGGTCAAACATTTTGGCGCCCACCGTGGGGCCGAGATTTTGAGATTCTTTTCGTCTGATTTTCGAAGAGGGGAAGAGATCGCCTCTCCCACCACCAACTTGAAGTCTCAATAGCCATCTCTCAAGATGAAAATAAAACCCATCAGAGGTTGAAGGAAAAAGGAACTCGACTTCCTTCCTCGCCATTGACGTCAACAACTAAGAAGAGCTCTAGGAAGAATAGCTGGATTCTTCGTCCGGTCGCCTCCCAACCACGCACCTCCGTTGGAACAACTCGCCATGGGGGTCGCGGAACAAACAAAAACCCACGGCCTCCTCCACCTTGAAACCTTAAGTCAGATCTGCATCTCTCCAAGCCATTAGCCGCCTAAGAACAAAAATAGGAATTTCCAGATTCCGGCTACCGGAGTTGCTAGCCTCGTCGGAGCTCCGGCGGGGAAAAAGAAAAGGTCTCATCACATTATTGTCTCTCCCAAAGCTCTCTCTGAAAAAAGCAGCTTTTTCTGAAAAAGTAGCTTTGCTACTGTGGGTGGGCCACTCTCCCAAAGCTTTCTCTGAAAAAGAAAAAAGAAAAAACAGCTTTTTCTGAAAAGGTAGCTTTGCTACTGTGGGTGGGCCTGCAAAAAGAAAAAAGAGACAGCTGTCTCTGTCATACTTTTTCTCCCTCTCCTTTCCTTCTTCATGCCCAACCCGCCGTCAGAGCCCAAATCCCGCCTTTTGTCTACTGGGCCCGCATTTGGCCCGCTTCGGAGGTCATCAAGCTTCAACTCGAGTGTTCTGCTTGCACAACGCACTAGGGCTTCAAACCCGCCTCCGACGGCCCAAGAACACCCAGCCCGCCTAAGAAGACCAAGACCGCACCAAAGCCACCAAGTGGACCGCTCTCCAAGCCCAGCCCGCCTTCTGTCATGCAACAAAGGCCCGCTTCTCAAGTCCAAAGGCATATAGGAAGCTGCTCACCAAAAAAGATGAGTAGAGTGTGTCTGTCAAGATTCGAACCCGCGCGCCCACCCTCACCACGTCAAAGGCCGCACCACTGCACTACAACACTTATTTGTGAATCAAAGTGCGACTCCTGTTATTTAGACCGCTTCCCAGCTGTCTTCTACAACTTATTCTCGAGATAAGTACTTCCTTCTAAGATATATTCAAATACTATGCCATGAAGACCGCCACTAATATCATACTATGATATTTCTCACTACATCCTATGCTATGCTTATGTTTGTGCTCTAAAAATATGGGGCACTAGTCACTCACATCTTTCGCAGATATAGAACCGCATCCCGCTTCCTGAGCGATGCTTCCCCTCTACGTAGAAGCCCGAAACCGCCTCCCAGTAGGCGCGCCATCGGTATAGCTAACACGATCCCGCCTCCCAGCAGGTGTGGCATCTTCAAAACACAAACGTCGCCTTGAGTTAAAACTCTCAAGTCGTGGGGGCCGCCCTCCCTAGCACATAGCCAACGCCTAATATTCAGCCAACAACTCACGCTTAACATGCACACAAGCTCATGCTCATCTCGCGGTCCAACAGCTTAACGCATACAGCTCACAGTTACGGCCTACATATTAGCACGCTCGACAATGGGCTAGTGGGGAAATCTCAAACGACTTGAGAGCTCTAACTCAAGACATCGAATGCTAAGCTAAGAAGCAAAGATGATGGTTGCACAAGGGGCAAACCGCATCGTTTGGACCCGCAAGGGTCCAGTCCACTCGTGGGCGCCCATCACCGGGAGACATCCTATCACCCGGAGGCGTCCATCACCGAGAGGCGTCTCAACCATCGGGAGGCGTCCATCACCAGGGGCATCCAGCACCAAGCAATGGTCGCACAAGGGGCAAAACCGCATCGTGCGGATTCGCAAGTAAGGCAAGCTAATACACCTTAACGCATTATTTTACTCCTTCCATTCTTACAGAATACAAGAAGCAAAGGGGCAAATGTTGGGTCTAGTATTAACCCGCCTAATACGGGCCCAAGCCCACCACAAAGCGTCTCACCTTGGACCCGAGCCCATTCGAGGGTCCAGTACACCGGGAGGCGTCCAGTCCATCCGGAGGGCGTCCATCACCGGGAGGCGTCCAGCCTACCCGGGGGCGTCCACCACCGGGAGGCGTCCATCGACGGGAGGCGTCCATCGACGGGAGGCGACCAGTCGACCGGGGGCGTCCATGACAACGGGAGGCGTCCACAGGATGCCTCCGACTCCTATATAAGGAGGCCAGACCCTCCAAGCAAGGGGACTTCTCTCCCTTCCCTCATTTCACCCATGGCTTCAGGTGCTTTCCTCCTCCTCCTCTTCTCCATTTTTCAGTTTCACTCGCACACACAGTCAGTCCTCTGTTCCGCTAGAGCCCATCCCGAAGCCCTTTGCTATCTCTCTGTTTCATCGCAATTTTCTTTCTTCTAGTCTGCCTTCTTCTTCCTTCGTTACTATCGATGTTAGCTCAGATCGGCCTTTCCTGAGGATAGATCTGCTTACTGTAACGAAAACCGGATACTGATTCCACCCAAAAAAAGAGAACTCCCGGATACTGAGGGAGGGTTAGGTGGAGTAGATCACGTTGCAGCCATTGCCAATTCTCTTATGCTTGAACTGTTTTTCGCTTTTGACCTGTGGATGTGGAAATTGAGTATACTTTCTCGGTTTGTTTCTATACCTGTAATCATATCCGTGAAAAGGATTACGACTTCTTATTGCTTTCGGACCAGAGCGGACTGTTTGTTTTCATTTCCTTTTCTTAATTGCTTTGATGCCATGGCTTGTCGCAGGGAACCACTTACACCAAGGTCTTCGTCGGCGGCCTGGCCTGGGAAACTCAAAGCGACACCATGCGCCGTTACTTTGACCAGTTCGGGGACATTCTTGAGGCGGTAGTCATCACCGATAAGAACACCGGCCGATCCAAGGGCTACGGTTTTGTGAGTATCATTCCCGTCTTTCCCCCCTTCTGTCCTTTGTTTGCTATTCTATCGCATACCCTGCTCATTGATTGGTTGTCTTCGTGATTCCACGTGCTTGCTTGCCTAGTGATTGTTTTGTTTGCCACTTGATTGGTTCCCTTGTCAATCTTGTGATGGTCGCAGCCGGGCAATGTCAATTTGTTTTCCTTCTTCTAAAGTTGTCTTTTATTTCACCTCATTCCTCGAGAATGACGTTTTCTTGGCTTGTATTTGCCTGGAGGGTTTAGGTGACCTTCCGGGATCCAGAGTCTGCTAGGAGGGCCTGTGCCGATCCCACCCCAGTCATTGATGGCAGACGAGCAAACTGCAATTTGGCATCGCTTGGGAGGCCACGGCAGCCAATGTCTTACGGTAGGTGTCTCTACTATCTATGGGTGGGTGTTCCAACATGAGTTAAGGTGTAAACTCAAAGTCCAGAAGCTTTACATTGGCAATACCCCATCTCTTTGTCCACTTAATACGTTTGTTTAATGGTAGAAAATTGATTGTTCTTCTATATGTTTGGTATTTCTACTCTGTCTGTCTTTCGTGCTTACTCCTGTCACTACTGGGCTTTATTTTAGGGCGCTTGAGACCAGCTACCCCATATGTTGCCAATGTGCAAGCTGGAAGGGGAGCTTATGTTGGAGGTGTTGGCTACCAGCAGCAGCTTCCTTATAACTACCAGCAAGGATTGGTATATCATCCATATGGGTGAGTGGTTCAATTACAGTGCCTAACAAATTACATAGGTTGCCTGTAGCTATGAGATGCTGACTTGGTATTTGAAAATAAAGTGTTCTTCCTTGCTGGTGTACTTTTGGGAATATCCCGGACTTCTAAGTGTTCCTTGTTTTCTGGGCAGTTTGTTTTGTTCGTTTCCAAGATATTGCATTCGCGTTTGCATTTTTTAATAATCAGTACAGTGAACGCAATTATAGTGTTGGTTGATCTTCCATTCATATTTCTGCGCTTTTGACGTTTCTTCCTAGATTGAGTACATGTCCTCTGCAGCTGCTTTTTAATAGTTCACTCTTTTCGCGTCTCGTGGCTATTCGTCTATGCTAATGACATCCACTGTCATGACACCAAGGCTCTTAGGTTCTCCAGAGAAGTGATGTCATGTGATTGGTAATTGCAGGAAATTCAAAAACGTAGTTCCAGTGGATATGTGCGTCAGCTCAATGTTTATTTAACAGGCAAGATCACAACCATGGTTTTATCCAACCTGGAAATAGAGCCCAGATAACTAGGCTTCAGATGTTAGGCTCCTTTACTTTTCATTGGTCCTCACCTTGCATTATCTATTTCTTTATTCTTTGAACCTGGACGGACAACATGTAGTTTATTTAGTAATATCACTTCTCTTGCTGTGAAATGATATTGAATGCACTATTTACTCATTCTAATATCTCAAGACTTGTTGCTACCAACGTTTCCGACATCATCAATTCTGTTCTCTTCCTACTTATGCAGCTATGCAGCCTATGGGCCTGAATATGTTTACCCACAGGTAACCCTAACTTTAATAGAAACTCTAGTTGTCGTTCATTTTGAATCTTCTATTGATTTAGCAAAGACTTATATTTGTTATTTGTTAATAAATTAATTGTAGGGTGTCTACAACCCTTATTCTGGCCAACAGTACCTTCAGATATACGGAGTACCCGGGGCGGTCAACACAACTGTTTATCCCTATGGACAGGTAGGTCAAACAGTTTATGGTGGTCACTCATATCCCGCAATGCAGGGATATGCCATGCCAGGCCATCAGCTGGTGCAGTTTGGTGCTCCCAGCGTTAGTGGTATGACGACTTCAGCTATGCCCTCAATTCAAGCACCATATCCAGCAGGTTTATATTAAACTCTTGAAATTTTATGACCGTCAATTATCTATGCATAGCATCCCCACTTTCGTCCTCGTTAAACATCATAAGCTTGGTTCAAAGGTTTATATTATGACAGTCATCATCTACTTCCGTCCATGGTAATACGAGATTTTCTAAGTGGAAACACACACATGCACCACTCACGTTAATTGTTATTGGTTTTATGCATTTTTTGGTGGAGTTGGGTTTGAGGGGGGTGAGAAATATTGATTAAGCATGAACTGCTAACGTAGGCAGACCTATTTGGGTACGTTGAAATGGTTATTCAGGGATAGCAACACATGTTCCTGCACAACCACAGTTTATGGTTCCTTCTCCTTCTCAGTATATGCAAGGCAGCGGTTCTGACCAAACAGCTGGGTGAGGAGTTGATCCAGGTGAGTGGATGACAACCTAGAGCTTGCAATATTGTCCAGGAACCATGTCTCCAAGTTGATGCCGATGTTTAAAGGTATGTTGTGTCTTCTCTTTCGTTTTGTCTACAGGTATTCCTTAAGACTGCAGCAGGACTAAGAGCAGCGGAACTGCTACTTGAGTGGCGGGCTTCGAATCTATAGCCTTGCAAGCCATTTTACTTTGCATTCTAGAGGTACGAAACTGCTAAACACCTATCCATATATACCAATCAGCACAGTGAGGATTGGCATTAAACTGCTAGGTGTGTGGATTGGTGCAGGTCATACATAGTCATGCTCACCATAGATGTTCATAGCCATCATCGTGTGTCCGAGTCGCTCCATGTGGTGGAGAAGGAAGGAATGTGGGAGGAAAAGGGGGGAATTTGGGAACAGAGAAATCAGTCCTTGTTTCCTAATGCCCTCCAGTCATGCTGCTGCTGCTTACAGAGCTCAGGGAGAGTCTCCTGTTGGCAGTAGTAGTGTACATGTGGCCGGGATGCCAGAAGCCATGGGAGGTTGATCTGGCAACTGTATTATATATATTTCCATATAGGTGTAAAAAAGCAAAGGAAGATGGATGGGGACAAACTTGTAGGAAGGTACAAAGGTGTCGACAAGGGTTAGAATCAACATATGATTCTTTTTAGGGTTCTTAGCTGGTCTTTTCTTTCTTTCTTCACCAATCCAGAACCCCCAGCATTGGATTTGGAGTGTATAATAGTCACAGAAGTAGAGGAGCTTAGTCACGATGGGGTGGTGGACCCACCCCTCTCTGCATCATCGTCATCATCATCATGTGTCATATTTGTCGTTAGTTAAGACAACAGGACAGGAAACAGCATCATGGAAGCAGTTTTTCATTTTCTGTAGGGAATTACCAGTTGTTTAAAACAACTTCTGTCCTTTATTTCCCCTGTGTTGCTTTTGTTCCTGTTCAGTGATGCTGTACAAGTCTTCCTTGTAATTCTCATGGGAGTTGTTGTAATTATGGGAAGCTCTCTTTCAGCCTCCGACCTCAAAGCATGAGGGAGGAGGTTTTTCTTCTTCTTTACCATCATCTTCTTCATTCATTATGTTTTTGTTTTGCTTTGGAAGCTCGAGAAAAGACAGAAGACATGATTGGCAAAGAGTATTATAGTTGGAGGAGAAACAGGTTCATTGAACTCTTTTCTTTTGGGTGGGAAAACTGGTCAAGTGAATAGACTAAAGGAAGGAATATGTATCGAGTGTGTATGGCTGTCTGTTTCATTGATTGGGACGGTACACATGATGATGTTTTCTGGTCTAGCATCTCGTCGAAAAGTGGTGTAGATATTGCTAAATGCTAACGGTATAGTTGAAGCTGCATGATTCGATGACCATGAGCGTGTTCCTCTGCCTCACATTGCTTTGCTGGTGGTGCGCAAATGGGGTGCCCGCCACTTTAGGATGAGAAATTAATCAAATTATCAACCCTGGCCCATGAACAACGGTGTGGTCTAGTAATGTTACTAGTAGAACTCTTAAAATAACACTCAATCATAAAAAATATATTAAACTGATAGAACTATTATTCAAAATATATATATATTATTTATGACAGACTCAACTATTCTCTTCTCTCATTGATGCAATAGGGCTAACTAAGGATTTGGCACGAAAGTCTCTGCTTTTCTTTTTCTCAAACTTAACTATTTGGATTATGGCGGATAAGATGTGTGAATTATGATGGGAAAAATTCCTGCCCTCTTTTCTTTATATGGAAAGTTAGGAGAAGAAACAATTGAAGAAAATGGAAAGTTAGGAGAAGAAACAATTGAAGAAAATAAGGTTCCCACAAAAATTTTCCCTTGTTTTAGAATAGAGGAAAAGAAAGAGAAAGTAGAAAAGGAAATGAAAATTCACTATAGAGGTGACCACTTCAAATTGGAGGGCTAGGGACCGAAATGAGGAAGAAGAATGAAAGAATTTGATATCGCGGAATTGAAACAAACACAGAACACAAGAGTTTTACGTGGTATTCTCGATCGATTGATTGATCGAGACTAATCCACGGTGAGCTCGGAAGAGCTCACAGCTGACGTTTTATTGAACGACTACATTGTGACGGCTTGCTTACGACAATCTCGTAGCTAAACTTATATAGAGATAAACGTAGGGTTAAAACCCTAATGACAACCAAGTTTCCTTCTTTTACTTGAACAAGGAAAACTAGGGATTTGTAGAACAAGGAATTAATTACTTTTTGATTAAGTAATTAATATCCTCAACACTCCCCATCAAGCGAAGACATGAATGACAAGAATGTCGAGCTTGAAAAAGAACAACACTCAAAGAACCTCTTGCTGGCAATAACGATCCAACAGGCTGTGACTTTGCTCGCTTGTGGGAGGGGTAGACAAATGATGAAACTACTCCATGCTTGACCCAGTTCTTTTGACAGTAAACTCAGCATGTCGAAATTCCTTGACGTCTTGGATGAGATTGATCTGGAGATGTCCGACTCTTTCTCTGAACAACCTGACGAAGATGGCTGACTGCGTCTTCTTGAACGTCGTGACGGAGATGGTTGACTACGCCTCTACCTGGATGAGATTGATCGAGAGCCTGTTGACTGCGCCTCTCTTAAATGAGACAGATTGAGAGAGTTCTGACTATCGTCTCTCTTGAATAAGAATAGGGAACCTCCTTGACTGATACACCGTGATCGATATGCTGAACTGATTGACCACGTATGATGATACCCTATTCTCCCCCTCAAGCTGAGGGATGAACGTAGTGAATGCCCGGCTTGAAAGTAAACAAAAACGTCTACATCAATGCACAAGACCAACAACTATGACCGGAAGGCTGAGCTTGAGTCGCATGGTACGACAAGAATTCAACAACTGATACCTTTCCACGACTGAGCAGAGTTAGCAATAGTGGAAAGGAGCACCATAAAACATCACAAAATCCATATGTGAGCACAGACATTGTGAAGTGGGTATTTCCTTCTCAATCTACGAATGAAAATGCCCATTACCATGACTGTAAGAACCATTTTCTTAGGGGTGAAACCCTGCAAACATATAGCTCCAACTTGACCTTCGTGGAACGTTGACTGCTTGCATGAACAGCACGAACGGAACAAGAACTTTGGTGGACCAGCGAGACAGGAGCTATCGACGATGCTTGAATGAGACTGTAGAATGAATTTGACTGACTCGGCGAGGCATTGGCGGGAGCTCAGATCCTAGCAGCCTCACCTGTCAATGGCAACGATGATGATTCAGCGATGTCGGGACGCAGACGACGAGCACGATAAGAGGAACGACGTCGAGTTGAGGCCAATGACGATCAGCAGTGACAAGGACAACGATGGCGAAGTCGGATGATGGGTACAACGCTCGATTCACCGGCGACGATGAGCTGCAAGCTTTCTCGGAGCGTGTTGACGGAGCGGTTAATATTGGGGGCCGTGAGGAATTAAACACGTGACCTCAAGAACAAACTAGCTCTGATACCATGTCATAAACTAGTTGGTCTCAATAACTCGAATTGTTGGGAGAAAGTTATGATGGATCTTATACAGGCCCATGTATGGTACTTAACCACTTTCTTATTAAAAAACTCTATTTAATAGCATTTATATTATAATAGTTTTGGCCCGGCTTGTTGGTCGCGTGATTTATTGATCAATTTATATTTGTATTGAATTGTTTAGAAATTTACAGAATTTATGTTTTTTAATAAATGTGTTTCCTGGGGAAAACCAAATGCCACCGCCGGTGCCGAATTTGTTTCCGGCGATGTTGATTTGATGTTTCGCGATGGAAACTCTTGCGGTGCCGTTTGATCGAATGCACCGCTGATTGCTGAAATCGAGACGACCGTCAAATATCCGCCGTCGAATGTCGGCGCCGTTGATTTGATCGATGCACCTCTGACTTCTAACCAAGAACGACCGTTACTACGGTTCACACCTCTCCAAACTACGTTCGAACGAGGGTGTTTGAGTTTTGGGGAATCTACATTAAAACTACTCCTATGGAGATTCCTGTGGAGAGCTCCGCGACTACGACTACTGCTACGACTATGGAGATCCTTCCTGGAAGGAGAGCTCCGCGAAGGAGTTACAGAGAAAAAAGATAAAGTTTGACAGATGTGTTTCTGTGTTGATTTGGTTGTCCCTTTCTTTCTCCTTGCTCCACTGCTTTTATTCGAAAAACCGCTTCGTAGTCTTCACGCTAGGTGGAACCGCTTCCTCAACTGCTCCGTTGTGAACTCCCACGTGTCTCAACCGTCTTGATCTCCTCCTCGCTAGGGTTGGTGTGAATCTCACGCGATGCCGTTTTCTTCCCCAAACAGCTCTGTTTGCTTTTTACTCCACAACATTGTTTTATATTAAACACTGTCGTTTGCTACTACAGCGGTACCGTTTGGCTTACTCGCGGTACCGTTTTTAATTAAACGACACCACTAACATAGCCAAAAAATTCCAATTCATTGAACTGCCGAGAGTTTGCACTCGCATTGGGCTGGGCGGAATTAGGCCCTTCACTTACCCGATATGGTTTTTTTTATTTATTTAATCGGCACCGCTTATCAAGGCCTCCCGCGGCATCGTTTTTACATCTGCGGTACCGTTTTAATTCTCCGCGATGCCGCTTGTCTCCATGCGGTACGGCTTCTCCCCTTCCGACAAGGAATAAAAATAATAATAATAATAACTCCTTTTCCAACACCAATACTACGCGCGCGGTCCCATCCTGTTTTCTGGCAAACAGTGTCGTTTCCAGTGCCGCGGTACCGGTGAGCTTCCTTGCGGTACCGTTTTTCTGGTCCGCGGTACCGGTGAGCTTCCTTGCTGTACCGTTTTCACAGTCTCGCGATGCCTCGAGCTTTGAGGTTCGCGGCACCGTTTTATCTCTTCGCGGCATTGTTTGACTCCAAACGGTGCTGTTACTCTCCTCCTCCGACAAGGAAAAAAAAAAAAAAACATTCCTTGTCCAACAGCAACACATGCCCTGCGCATGACTCACACATGGTCTGCAACCAATGTCGTTTCAAGTACCGCGGTACCGCCGAGCCTCTTCGCGGTCTCGCTTAAATTCTCCGCGGTATTGCTTAACTCCATACGACATCGTTTTGGCCATGCGATATCGTATTAAATGCCGAGACTCATTATTACGGCATTGAATTTAGGCCAAAAATATTTTAGGTGTAAACAATGCCCCACAACTTGGTTTATAAGAATTTATGAACCAAGTTGTTGACATAATTTAATCACCTCACCTAAAATATTGTCTAAAATAAACCACAAATAAGCTCGTTGGAAGAGAACTTGAGGCTGCAGTAGTATTGTGGTGAAGATCCAACGTTGGCCTACTGTAGGAATTTGGTTTGTCATGCAATCACAATTTGCCAAACCATGGGATTCAAATTCTCATTGCATGCATGCAGTATCTTTGGTTAGGCCAACTCGAAGGCCATTTGGTTCTTTCTTTTTGGCATATGCTTAGCCAAACCCTAGCCAACTAAAACCCACCGAGAGTTCATGCAATGCAATGTTCACTTTAGACATACACGTGTTTTGGTTTTCATGCGTCTTGGCCTTAGCAACGTTGTGGTTTAGACCCTGTTTTTACTCTGGACCGGTAGCAGCCGAACAAACCTGCTCTAGTTGTCTTTGGCATGCACAACAACGATAGAAATAAGGAAAAATACATTTATATAGCCAAAACTTTCGCATTTATGCCAATAATAGCCAAATTTGGAGAAATACCACTTATAGCCACCTTTTAAAATTATTGTAGGACAAATATAGCCATTTCCGTTAGAAACTTTAACGGTGTTAATAACACCGTCAACTTATTTGACGGTTTGCTGACCAGGCGCCAACTCAACGGACACATCAGCGCCAAATAAACAAATAATGACACATCAGATATTTAAATTATTTATTATTTATACCTAAATAAAAAAATTACCCTGCCTTCTTCTCACCATTCCTCTCTTCGCCTCGGCAATCCCTCCCCCAAGCAGCGTCGCCATTCTTTACGGTGCCGGATCGGAAAGCCAACTTTTTCTCCTGATCGGAGGTACGCCAACAAAAAGATTGGACTATGATCTCAGTGTATGTATCAGTACGCTAATCGGAGGGCAATTGGATCACAGTGCTTCTTGGCGATGAGGCCTTTGAGCTTCAGCTTGCATTTCGCCACCGCACTCTCGTAATCCCACCTCACTTTCGGGTAAAGCTTCTCCTCCGCCATC